AATGTGTTACCTCACCTTACAGTGGTTGAGAATGACAACACCAGAATTTCTGTAATTCTTCTTCTTCATTTGGTATTTAGGGTTGATGCACTCCCATTGAATCTAGGCAACACACAGTACAGAAAGAGAGGGTTATTACACACACATCACATGCAGGCTCAACACTATTGAAAAAAAGATCAACCACAAATTAATTTAGATGGATAATGTTTTCCTTATGTGGCGAAAACACAGAGAGCTTTAGAAACCTGACCAGCAATGAGCACTTCACTCTCATTTATTGTATAGCTTCTTGTTGACAGCTGTCCATAATTTTGATTATAACAATCATGTGTGTTAACAAGTGCATGTGTGTGGAGATTTTTCTGGCAATAATCCCATTGCAACTTTTGGCATGCAATTTTAAACTCATTTTTTTGTGATATTTAAGATAAATCTGATATATTTTTGATTGAGTTTTAATGGCATACTTGTTTAATTGTAATCATTCCCTGAGCAGGTTGGATAACCAGTTCATTGCTAGGTGTGTTAACCATTTTGTAACCATTATTAAACCGTTGTCTATCTAAATATATTTGTGGAGAGTCAGTGTGCAGTCATTACTCTTTTCATCCATTTGTGTGTGTTTGTGCTTACCTGTTTGCCCTCCTGCTCTGCTCTCACCTCCTTAAAGGTGGTCTGGAACTCCCCAATAAAGTCATGCTTTCCATTGGAGTCCCAGTCCCAAACTGTGCACTGGAACAGACACAAAGAGACACACATACACCAGCACACACATTCACCAGTCAGAGCGCAGCTGCAACACTGTCACCTAAACGCACTGACACACTCATGGCAGGGAAATGCCATGCTGAATGATTGATAAGGCAGTGTTAGTGGGGGGGCAATGGAGCGGTGAAATATTAATCTGAAGATGCTGAGAGGGATGTGGCTTAAGAGACAGCTTTATGTGTGCGTGTGTGTATGTGTGTGTGTTTAGGCGTAATAGTTTGTTTCTCTCAAAGGAGCTACTAGACAAGAAAAATGGCCTCAATCGCCAGTGAAAAGCGCAGGTCAGAGGGGGCCACGGCTTAGCACATCATAACAAAACAATCCCAACAATTCAAAAGGTGACAAAAGCCAACAATATCTGTCTAGCAGAGTTTGCACAATCAATAATTTTCAATGAAGTTGGTCAATAGAGACACACGTTAACACGCACATGCACAGAATAATTGATATCTTACACAAAGGTTTAATGGCTGTGAATGAGTAATTTTGCTCTTGAGCTTAGCGACCTTCTTGCCTGAGGTCACCCCAACAACTAGCGACCAATCCAACAACGCTTGATTAAAAACAACGACCAGCAGTAATCCCCTTATTTCCTGGCTCCCACTTAAGCTGCCAAGTACTTGCACCTGAAGTCTTTTTTTGTCCCCTTCTTTGTGTGTGTGCGTGTGTGATCATTTGTGGATTGTTTGCGTGTCCGTGTTTTTGACAGTAATTATTGCATGTGATGGAGCGAGCGCTCCCTTTTGCAGCCTTGCTTCCACTTCAAGTTGCTGAGAGCTGTGCAAGAGAGTAATGAAAAAATGAAGAACCTCCGTTCCATTCGCTGAATACTAACTTTTGGATGGCGACAGAGACGGAGGGACGGAACGAAAACTAGAGAGGTGGAGAACAGGTAAGGAGAAATACAAAGGGAGAGACAGACAGACTCTGCAGAGAAGGGTTATGCATTTATGCATTGGTCAGTTAAGAGCCCGGTGAAAAGGAAGCACTGGTCTGAATAGAAATCTCTACCGTGCCATTTCTCACTATAGCTCTGATGCTTCAAACAGGTAGCCCTGGAAACCATAGCCGATGGCGCGTGTGTGTGTATGTGTGTGTGTGTGTGTGTGTGTGTGTGTGTGTGTGTGTGTGTGTGTGTGAGTGTGCGAGCCCTTTCTCCTGCTGTCAGGAGCCATGCAGAGTTAAGACGCCTTTGAATATTTAATGAACAAGCTCATGTTTATTCATGGAAAAGAATAACTGTTTGGAGCTGATGTGCGGCCACCACTTTCGCACAAATGCACACATGCAGATCTATTCTGGCAAGTAAAGGTGAGAGTTTAGGGCGACCACTGAGCTCTTTCACACCCCGTCCGGCTCTTGAAATAACACAGTGACACTAGGGAAGGCGGCACATGACCTGAACTCGACTCATGGAGAAGAAAATGGAGGGAGATGATTGAGGCAGCTGTATGATTATGGCTGATTCAGTAATATACTTGTGGGTATGCGGTACTCAACGCTTGTGTTTTACAAATCTCATCATTTTTATGCTGCACAAAAAAAAACGCCTTACAAAGAAACACCTGCAGGCCTTCAGGTGCTGTTTGGCCTCTCCCTCTAAAGGTGCACTGTGTCTCTCTGGGGGAACTTAAATATCAAAGGGAACTGTGGCCAAGGTTTTTGCATGCTCAGACTGTTGCAGACTAAGTTAACTGTTAAATAAAATGTCTTCTCATTATTATGACTTGCAAAAAATTGTTACAGTTGCAGACTCACCTTTAGCTCCCTGTCATGGTCACCACTGCAGAGTGTGTTCAAAGAAACTTTGAAGGATTTCCAAACTGGGCTCAGGTTGTTCATGATCGTCTACCAGTGCACAAAAGATCACAGTTTCCGTTAGTCACAGGTCTGAAGTGGTAAATAACACCTCTATGTGTGTGCGTGTTTGTGTGTACCTGTAATTACCTCAGTTCTGTGCACAAGCGACTCAGTCCCGTCATCATTTATTCTAAAAATCTCCAGGAAAGGGTCTGACTTGCTGAAGAAATCCTTCAGAGAGAAAACACACATGTAAGGCATTGCCTCAGAACCACCTTTGATCACCATAAATCATTCATGTACTAACAGAACCATTATTTCACCCCATTTTTCTCCCAGTTCTTCCTTGTTTCTCCACCCATCCCTTTCCTGTCCTCTCCAATTTACCCACCCCTCACGCTTTTCATCCATCTTTCCCCTAAGGCACAACTTGTTTGGATTAGTCATCCATGGCTGTGCGCGCGTGCATGTGTGTGGAGGCTGAAAATTAATATAGTTATCTGTGTGTGGTGTCGGCTGGGTGAGATAGGAGGGGGTTACTGGGGAGAGGGGAGGTGCCCACCTATCTCAGAGGGCCTCCTCTAATGCCAGATTGTACTTCTGTGTATTGTGTGTGAGTTGCTTAAGTCCCACAGCCCTCCGCCCACATACTTCTTTACACACACACTCCTGAAAGAGCACACACTCAAACTTATACCTCTGAATATGAATTCCTTTAATATCTAAAGGAAAACCACACATTGTCAGTGTTTTTGAAAGCGTGCACTCAGTCGTACAAACCTTGTCGTCTAGCTTACGAGCGCTGAAGGAGAGTTCAACGTAATCGTCATTACCAGATAACTCCTCTGCTGTCACCTTTGGGGCGGGGGGTGGGGGTAGAGCAAAGAAGATGGTGAGAGGAGGAGGAGGAGGAGGAGGAGGAGGAGGAGGAGGAGGAGGAGGAGGAGGTGGAGGAGGGTGAGACAGACAGAGAGGTAGAAGAAGGAGGTGAGAGAAAATGAGATGGAAATGAGGAACAGAACAGATTGAACAGGCAACATCATCAAATTAATTATCTTCAGAGTGTCTGAGTGCAAGAAGTGCGTGTGTGATATGTGCTTCTGTGTGTGTGTTTGTGTGTAAGTGCGGTGGGCTGAAACAGTGTCATACCGTTATGGACGACTTTCCAGCAGTGTTTCCCTGTTTGAGTAGAGCTTTGATCAGTTTCCTCTGTGAGACGATCTGAAACAAACAGAAACACAAAATCAGCTCACATATTCCAGTGTTTGCCTCACAGGGACAGCTTGCCCTGTTAGTGTCACACTGGTGTCACAATTGTTAGCATACAATCGCCTACTTACACATCCAACGGACATAAAGCAGCATGGTGGAGTCACCTTTCACTACCTGTCATATGTAATTTTCTCTGGTGTTGTATCCCTGGTTTGATCTGCCAGCTCCTTGGCTCTTTTCACCTTCTACTATTTAAAGCTGGCAGGTGCTATATGAGCTATGTAATTGGCTGCTCGAGTTTACATGGAGAGGTGAGATCCACTGGGAGTCAACCACACAGATGGATGAGCCAAAACTATGAGCTAAAAGCACCTCGCAGCTGCCAAAAGCTGCAGAGTGAGGTGTTGGTGGTCTCAGTGGGATCGGCAATGGTAGGAATGCTTTCAGATCAGTCATTTGATTCTGTGTTACTATCCAAAGAGCAAAAGTGATTCACAGGTGTTTGCATTGGACTGTCAACATATATACTTCTTTCTTTCATATTGCGTGAAGAAGATCTATGACTGAAAGCTTGTATGTATGAATGCACAGATCCCCGTGCAGTTCTGTTCTGATATGTATACAAAATGGTTTTGGAGGCTTTAAATATACTTCATTTTGAAATGAAACATAATTATAAATTTGCCTCCTTCATTATTTAAATATGTAATTATTTATTTTGTGGCTTCTAAACGCAATGCTGACACATTACTTTTAAGTTGATATTGCAAACTTGTTAGAAAACAGTTGCCTATTTACACACCCAGCAGATTCGGAGCGGGATTAGCAATAATTTCGAGTTGTGTGTGCCTGTGGTCACTGAACAAATGTAAGTCCAGTAATAATTCACTCTCATTTTTAGATTCTAAATGCTCAAACATGTCCACCATCTAATCAAAACATTAAGCTAAGAGACACAATAAAGCTCTGGGGAAGCTGAGGGGACAATTATATGTCTATTGTCTCTCTATAGTGAATGTAATCCTTTGGTAATATATAAATATTGATTAGAGCCACTTTAAGGACAGCATGTAATCGCTTACATGCTGTCTGTGACGATATTGCTGACACAATGCATGCGTCTCCCCCTTGGCTAACACTTCCCAGCTATGACAGCAGTAACTATGGTGAAGGGAGGAGTTGGAGGGGCTGCCGCTGTACATGCAAAATAGATCTAAAATCAACACAGTAGTGCAATCAATTACAACACTCACACAATTTCAACACAACATTTTTGTTATCTGTCTCAATTTTCAGATTAATGGATTTCTATTAACAGATCATTTACCATTACTGACAAAAATATATTTATATGTGCCTGTGGTCATTTCATATTGCACTGATGCTGTCTTTTACTTAATCATGCTCTGGATAGGCAGTGGCAGCATCCATAATGTTGTTGTTTAGACCCAGATAAAATGTTGGCAGCATGTTTTCCCGTTTCAGTTAACCTCCCTGGCTCTTGCCTTCACAATCCTCTTCTTCCATGTGAGTTATCTCAGTTCTCCCAACTATTGTAAATCCACCAGCTTTATGTTACTGATAGCGTCTCTGACAGTGAGAAGTGGAAACAAGCCCTTTAGGACTTTCTCTCTGTTCCCTTCTACGTGGTGTGACTCAGCTGCTGATTTCCTGAATTCAACTTACTAAACTAGTTAATGAGTACAACTGCAATTACAATTTTCCTCTTGGATATTTATGAAGCACATAAATAAAGCAAATCTTTTAAATATTGATTACAGCTACATCATTAAGAGGGGCAATGACACCATTAAGTGAGAAGCAGGGCCATATGTATTAGCATATGCACATGTAAATCCCATGAAAACATAGTTTAAAGCACCCTCAGGGCTTTTACGTAACCAAGAACTCAAGTACAATGAAATCTCAGTGTAAATGCTGCTAGAGAGTCGACCTCAAGTGAAAGATTGTATTAGGATTCCTTCCACGGCTAAAGTCTCTAATCTTAAAGTTGCTCTCTCACCTGAATTAAAGTACACATTACCTGATATACGTTCAATATCCCAACAAGCTCGATGCACTTTACAAAGGATTATATACACCAGTCTGTAATCCTTACCCTCAAAGAAAGCAGGCTGCATTTGTGCATGCACAGTCTACACTGGTACACTCATACTGTATGTTATTTACTGGTTAAATGCACTTACTGGTTGCAAGTGCACTTACTGATCCTCACTCCTGTCATGCATTCACCTGTACAAGCATGCTCTCATCATACGCACTTCTGGTTCTTATGGTGAACTTATGACTCTAACATGTGTTCAGATGTGCAGCGTATATTGAACATTGTGTTTCATATTCTGTTGTATAAGCCTGAGTCCTAGGAGATTTCGGTTTTATTAAACAATTTACAGTGTAGGGATTAATAATAGCAAAGAATGCAACTCGCATTTATGAATCACATGTAAAATGGTGTTTTGGCGATGATTACATTAAAGGATCAGTGTGTTGAACTGGAGAGTATTTCTTCATTGAAAAAAGAGCAAAGAAAGGTACTGAAGGCTTTTCTCGGTGGAAAAGATTGCTCTCCCGACTGGCTTCGGTAAGAGTTTAACTACATTATATGGATCATTGATCTGATTCATTGAAGTTCGCCCATGATAGACAGCGATAGTTGGTTCATGCAATCACCCAATTGCAGTTTCCAACAACAACTTCCCAGATAACAAACCGTGGGGTCAACTGAATAGCATTCGCCTTCTAAGTGTGTAGGAGAAACTACGGTGCCCGCAAGAAACTTATTTAGAGCCAGTATTGGTTTGTCTGTTATGGGTGACTGTACAAACATGGCAATTCAACATGGTGGACTTGGTAGAAGAGGACCCGCTCCCTCTGTAGATAAAAACGTCTCAAGATTGCAAAAACACAACAATTCTTTAAGCTGATTATACACTAATGAAAGCACATGAATTTTATATTCATACGAATAGGAATATTCTATTACATTTCTGCCAATAGATCCTCCTAAATGTTACACACTGGACCTTTAAGCGACTGGGAGACTGCTAAAGAATCTCAAGATTTTCCAAAGGTTTTTTTATTTTTATTCTTACTCTTCTGCTCCCCAATTGGCCGACTACTGACCTGTCAAAGGACACACTGACCTGTCCTAAGGTGCACTCCATGGCTCCCAGGAAGTCCGCATCACGCAGGCCATTGTTGCCAGAGCTGATGTCATGAAGTTCAAAGCGGAGCCTCTGCACCTCCTCAAAGTAGTAGTCCACCAGGAAGATCTTGGAAAAGACTGGGCTGCTACTGCTACGAATCACCTCTGTACGGTCCACCTGCAAACACACAAATGCACAGAGGCAGGGGCGCATGGACACACAAACTCCAGGTTAACCCCAGTATGTTCAAGGAATCTTTGGAATCTAACAGAAGATTTTCACGTAAATAGAGTTGGTAAATGGAAAAGCATCTGGTAGGTGGAAATGCTACAACAAACTGATTTACAAATTCCATTATTTATTTCTGTATGAATCAATCAGTCTATTTAATTGTTTTTTAAATGAACAATTAAATATAAATTAAACAATAGTTGTATAATCTAATTTATTTGTTGATATTAATCTGTGAACTCTCTTATTAATCTGTGTTTTTGCCCAATTAAAAATACAAAATGTACTACTTTATGATGTATGATGTAAGACCATTGAGAATATTTAAAACATCTAATAAAAAACTGAACTATTTTATTCTTGAATCTTTATTTTTACATGTTTTTGTATAGTTTTCATACAGTAAGAGTGGTTTTGTGAAAGCAGTGTTTAAAAATTCTGTTGTTAGCAGTTTCATTTTAAATGGAGTTGTTTATGGTCCTTTTGGTGGAATGTATGAAGATTTCATTCAACATCCAATGCACTGCCACTGCACAATGATTGTGAACCCCAGCAGACTTTTCAGCACTGCAGCAATTACCACAAATAACTATTACCACATTGTTTACACTTATCAACTTGAGAACTGGGAATATGGATTTTTCTTGATGACTAAAATCACACAAGCTGTTTGACTACACAGAGAAGCGACTACAGTTGCAACATTGATCTCACATTTTCTTCCCTCTAACTGCCTCACACAGAAAGGAATAGAAAGCTGAACAAAAGTCTGTCTCAGAGCTGCCAACAAAACCTATCCAACGCTAGCGGCAACGACTGGGTCCCTTTTACTGTTGATAACCCTTTGGCACACACACACACACACAGACTCAAAAGTGAATTGTACACCAGCAGACATACACACACAAACATATTTGGCCTTTTTCTGACACTTACCTCAATAGGCTGGCATCTCATTAAAGCAAAAAGAACAAACATAAACACATGCACACACACTCACACACACGCCCAGTGGCTTGAACACTCTCTATTAACAATTATCCAATTAAGAGACTCTGAATGTGATGGGCAGAGATAACATTTGTCCATTCCCACACTCCCTCAAAGGGGCTTATTTTAACACATACACACAAATTCTCTCTCTCTCTCTCTCTCTCTCTCTCTCTCTCTCTCTCTCTCTCTCTCTCTCTCTCTCTCTCTCTCTCTCTCTCTCTCTCTCTCTCGCACACACACACACACACACACACACACACACCAGCTGTAAAGTAGCTTTTTGTGTTGTCTCTAAAGACAGAATAATGCTGCACTACTTTCTGAGCACTTGATCTGGAGCCCCTGTGGAGGGGTGTGTGTGTGTGTGTGTGTGTGTGTTTGTGCGTGCGTGCGTGCGTGCGTGTTGAGCTTGTGCCTGCGACAGTTTGTGTAAATGAGAAGCATGTGTGTGAATCTGTGTACTGTCAGAGTGGGTCACTGACTGTACGTGTGAGGACACGCATGCCTGCGTGGGTGTGTGTATCTACATATTTAAAAGGAAGACTCAGCACTCAGCATATGTCTGTCTTTCACAGGACTAAGGGAGAAAGAAAGATGGATGGAATTCCTCTACATTTACCTCTTCCCTCATGTGTTCTTTCAAAGTTCAGTTAATACATGTGCTGCTGCCACCGGTGAGACATCAGTGGGAATAAGAGATTTCTTAAAGCAGGAGATTCCATCTGAAGTCCCTGAAAGAGCAGATTGAGTCTTGAAAAGAAGAGGAAGTGGAACATTTCTCTTCCATTTTCTCTTCTGTTTTTCAAGTACAAACCAATCTGTTCTATGAAGATGTTGTCCCCATCTATTTGATGCCTGAGTCCAATAAAACTGCTCATGATTCCAGGAAAAAAGTTTGGTACTCTCATTATTTTCAATATGAAAAAAATTGGGGCAGACAAGTTGTTTTAGCGAGCTAAGACGAGCCAAGAAACAAAAACAGCACACTTTCCATTTGAAGGTGACAAAAACATTTGGATAAAAAATTACAATATGTTCTAATCCACAAAAGTTACGATTTCTGTTGCCTTCTGTGACGATTAGCATCCATAATTTAAAAGAAACAAACATAACCTGCGATTTAGCAATCACAGCTCTGCACGATAGCGTAGGTCCTTGATTACACACAATCATTTAGTCAAACATGAATCCAATGAAGTGCTTTAATAATTTAAATTTTTTCTACAATGAAGTTCATAAAGAATCATCGGCAACAGAACCTAAAGAGCAGATGAAGACACTTAAATTCTCAATCAGACTAGTACATCAGGCCAAGGACAAATAGCCTAGATTATAAGGATGTTGAATAGCTAAAATAAAGTACAAGGATACGTTTTTTCACTGAATCTCACACTAAAGATTGCTTTGTAGAGCAGCAGAAGCAACCAAAAAAATCTACGGACTTCAAAGATACATAGTTTATGAAAGGGTTCAAAGTCCAAGTTTAGAAGTCATAATAATGTTGTTCTATGTGCTCTACGGACTCCCACTGCAAAGGGAAAAAAGTACTTCAAATGGCAGCCTAATCCATAATACAGCACCAATATGCAGTATGTGTAGATGTTTGATTGCTCACGCGCACACACTCACACACACACACACACACACACACACACACAGCTCTTATTCAGAGTGTCTTAAAATGGGCGAGTGAGTGAGTGTTATGAGCGAGGTCAATGATGTAACCATTATATACATTTTCTGTTCATGAAACAGTCTGTCTGAAATGAAGACACACTCACCCTGCCCCCACTACACTTAAACCCTTCACCCCACACCCAATTACCGTACCTCAAACCACTGCCCGTGCGACTGCATCTTCAGCACCACGCAAGGGTCAGGTTTGGAGAGGGCGTCGCGGTCCGAGATCCCCCGGCAGGCCACTCTCAGCTCCACTTTGGTCAGGCATGGGGAGCTGATGAAGCCCAGCGTGGCCTCCGCAGACTCGTAGATGTTACTCATGCTGAACACACAATCACACACTGAAAGGAAAAGGAGAGAGAGGATAAAAGAAAAGGATTACTTTATAGCTAGATAGCTAGATAGATAGATAGATAGATAGAAATAAAGATCCCATGCACTGCAGTATATTTGAACTGTTGTTTGCTTTGACTTGAGCAGATGCAGTGGCCCTGACTAAGCAGACAGCACTCAAACTGTTCAAGGTCAGGACTCTGACGCCACTGAATATCAGACAAGGTCCCCAAATGCACACAAATACGCACGTACTGTACCATAGAAACACAAAAACACAACACAAATACACACTTACACATGTCAGGGCAGACACAGATTTTTACATTCTATACAATCTGTATAAAGATGAGCACAAACAAATCAAAATGCACACACACTCACACACACTCACACGCACACACATACAGCATGCTTTGCTGAGTAACCAGAACAAATCAGCAGGTTTCTCCTCAGGTTTCCACAGAGAGTATAGTGTTCACAGTCCCTAAATAGAATACTGTCAAGCATCTAATCGCTGTGACACTGACAATTTTTCCCATGATAACTTGAAATGAACTGTTAATCATCAAAAAATGAGTTTAAATCACATTTTACAGTAACCCATCATCACAATTAAGGCTGGAAATATCTGCCGCTTTTCATTTGTTCAAGGTGAGAGCTCTTGTATTCCCACACCGACTAATATCTAGCTAATTCTTCCGGAACTAAATCAGGCATTAATTTAAATCCAGGAGATGTTGGCAGAAAACATCTCACAGGAGCGATGATGGTCTTAATATCACATACGCAGGGCAATGATATTTAAGGTGTTATAAGGGATAACTTGATCTTAAAGGCCCACAGCCATCAACCACCCACACAGGTGTTTTCAATTATTCTGCTTAATTAGACCTCTTTTCAGGTCTGTGTGGGCGTGTGCAGACTCAGGTTCACTGACATCTTCTTCCTCACTCTCCTTTTAGCTTTGTTGCACCTGTTTGAGTGGAATAACAGACACCTTTATAGTTCCTAATGACTTAATGTAATGAAATGTAATTCCCAGAAAAACTCCACCAAATTCCAATGTCACCACAATACCTCTATGTCTGTGCAGGACTTTTAAATTAATAATTTGAATAGTTAGTTAGCTTTGCGTACACTGGAAACAACAAGCCTGGCTGGGTCTACCAGCATCGGCAACCAGCACTACGAGTGTAGGATTTATTGAGAACGGGCTGTGAAGAGTGAAGGAGAAACTATGGTGGCCACAAAACTCGTCAAAAACGCAAAAAGGCCCAATCTATAGCCAGTGTTTGGTTTGTCCGTTATGGGCTACTGTAGAAACACAGCGGTTTAAAATGGCAAACTCCATGGAAGGAGACCTGCAGCATCTGTAGAAACGGCTCATTCTAAGGTAACAAAAACACAATGATTCCTATATTCAGGTGATTATACACTAATGAAAACATACTTGAATATTATATTTAATTTCTGCCAATAGATCCTCCTGAATGTTACAACCTGTACTTTTAAAACTCACTAATACACATTGTATCTCATTGTTCTATTTCATACAAAAACTTTTGGGTAAGCTTTAGGTGGATTTTGCTGCCTTTCTACAAAGCCAGCTTAGCTGTTCCCCCGTTTCCAATCTTTATACTAAGCTAAGCTAACCATCTCCTGACTGTTGCTTCATATTTATTTATTTGGAAAGATATGACAGTGGCATCAATCTTCTCATCAAAAGATAACTGTTCCAGCAGTAGATTTCAAAAGTATTGTAGCAGCATCGATAAAACTTTAATACCCTCACATCAAGCCTAAAGCAGGATCCAGCTTACTTAAACTGTTTCATTAGAAAAACTGCATTGGATGTATAATTAATCTCAAATGCATGGATCCATTGTTCGATCCCATAATGTACATGGAGTCTTGGGCTGAAACCTTGGGTAGCCTCTAGTCCAGTTAGTCCAAACTAAAGGATAACCACAAGTCTGATGTGCTAGATGGTACGAACTGAATATTAATGCGGCGGTCTAGTAGTATCATCCTTAGGGAGCGAAGCTCTCAGAACTGGGTCTGACTCTGACCTGAATGTCTCTCTCTCTCTCTCTCTCTCTCTCTCTCTCTCTCTCTCTCTCCCCTCTGTCTTCCATAATTCATGTTCGATGTGTGTGTTGGTGATTATTTTTAGCCAAGCATACTGAATGGGCTGCATACAGAGAAACGTATGTGGACAGAGCCACAGGGCAGGTATGTGTGACATACAGTAGACCTGTGTGTTGGTGGAGTGTAGTTAGTTATGTTTCCCTCTGCATGGTGGTACATTTCTTCGTGTGTGTGGGAAACAGCAGATGCCCGTCTGTTCCGGTTGACAGGAGGTGACACTGATAGTGATGGAGGATGTGGACGATTTCTACAGCTACTGTTTAAGAGCTCATAAGCTGACACATGTGTAGCACATTGCCAGGGGTGACGAGGGATTTTCAATAACACTTTGTCGCAGGATCTTGCAATAGCTTCTAGGGGGAGGGAAAGTCTCAAATAGTGTTTTTGCCAAGGCTGACAACTGGTTTATTTTGATATTTATGTACTGTAATACCAGTCAAACCCATTGATAAGGAGGGCTTAAGTATGTAAGGATCTGTACTTTGACTAAATTTGACTAAATCTTCCCAATTTTGTACAAATGTATAAACTTATAAAATCACAGTGTTTCCAATACTTGTCAATAAAAAAGACTGCAGAAAACTGCAGTTTCACTGTATTATTCTTCGTCTCACAAAAAAAGTGAAAATTGCAGATTGAGAGGCTGAACGCATTGTAACAAAGTGGTTTGTGTGCTCTGAAATTTATGTGTAAATCTAAAATAAAACAAAAACCAGAATAGAAGTGAATGATTGCTGGGCGGTGTAAGATCTCTTTAAAATCATTCCAAGGCTCCTCACTGTCAGCTCTTATTCCCCACACTGTGACAATCAATCATCACAGAGCTCAATTGCCATGACCCTTGACTCTGTGTGTGCTTGTGACCATTCACCTTCACATGTTCATATGTGTTAAGTGCATGTGACAGATGTGACACTAATGATTCAGCCACAGCAAGGTCCACAACATGGGAGTACACTATAATTGCTTGGTCACATATTGATTAACAGACAAACTGTCCAGCCACAGTGATAGTATAGGAATAAGCTATGTGGCATGTTACGCAACCTTATATGGAATATTAATCATGGCAGGTGACAGCAATATGCTCAGCTGAAAGAGTGGACACATAAAAGGCAGCCGTGGTCTGAGAAAAGACAGAGAGGAGTATCAGAAGTGAAGCAGTCTGGTGTTGTGAAACTCCCAGTGTTATTAGAGCTGACAGAGAGAGAGAACCAGCAAGAGTGAGGGAGACAGAGGTTGTGAGAGGGGGGATTAGAGAGATGGAGTGAGAGAAAAAACTGGAGAAAAAGGCAGGCAAGTGCGAGTGAATGAAGCAGAGGGCAGAGAGGGACAGAGAATGAAGCAGATCTTCCCCTCTTCCTGGGCTTATATAGTCTTAAAGCACTCCAGCAGAATACAATTAAAGCACAGGCTTTCTAAGAGTAGCCTACGAGGTATGTTCCAGTATTTTCTCAAAGAAAGAATCTCTCCAGTCACTGTAGAATTTCTTTAGAATAATATTTTGTTGCCTGGGGGTAAAAAAACAATAGTTGTATGATCTATTTTGTTCTACAGAATAATGAATAAACCCACAAAGTCACACAAGCTGCTAAACAATAAAATAAATTAGATGATAAACATGTAATGCCATGTCTGTCACTTAAAGCACAATACATAAAAATGTCCAGGGCAAATGTTTTGTAATAGCCTATAGCTACAGCTCTCATGCACCAGGTAAGACATGCACCATCCGGACTCCCATCTCCTGCGGAGAGAAAACTCACCTCAACGACCTGGAGAAAAGATCCGAGTGGAGCCGAAGAACTTCACCGCCGTTTTACTTGACAATCACGGATACCTCACCGCCTCCGGACCCATCTCCCACTCCTCACTCTCTTTGTGTATTATGTTTCCCCTCAATCCCTCTACACAGCAGAGCTCAGTCGGTTTTGGCGCTGACAGCCAAACAGAGATGCTTTCTAATTCCCACAAGGCGAGCACGGTGAGGATGCGCTCCGTGCGCCTGGGTTCACTCTGGGCGAAAGATGGGGAGGAGGAGGAGGACGGTGCGCCACTTATCTGGAGTTTGTAATGTGGCTGGCTCCATCGGGGGCCGCAGAGAGAGCACCGTACCCAGGGACCGGTGGCCTCAGGAGCACAGTGCACCAGCGCCATCTCGTGGTTGTTACAGTCACCTGACGCTTATAAAAATTGATTTTCTGGTTCTCGGCTTTGATTGGCTGCGATGCGCCTCGGTGGTTTTATAATAAGCGGTGACCGCACACCTGAGACCAACTGGTACTTCATTTAAACCGGTTCAGATGAGTGTAAAACGTTTCAGTGTATGAGGTTGAGTTTGCTGCTGAAATAAACAGAAAATATAAGGTGTTATAGGAGATCTTACAATGGATCTTTATTTTATTTTTCAATTATTTTTATGTATTTTGTTGGTTTAAGTATTTCTATTCTATTTTCATGTAAATTTGTCCATGATCGTGGTTTCCAACAGCTGTAAACTACTGACTGCACTAACCTGACAGGTGCTATACAAATAAATACTGATTGTTTTTTTAATTGCACTGAACGTTCACTGACTTATAATACACTAAAAACTAAATGAATGTATTTAACTGTATTGGGCTGTTTTATTTATTTTTTATTAATTGGTTTTACCCGTGTTATTATTACATTACATTACATTATATTCATTCAATATCTAAATCTGTTCTAAAAATGACTGACACGCTTTATCTCAACTTCTCATATAGGCCTATAGTCTATGCATAAGAGGCTAGTCAGCTTAAAGTGCATCCAATTCCTACATGGCATTACAGCTTTATCTCTATCCTGTAGGCTTAGGCCCGGTGCCATATTCTTCATAAATCAAGGCATTGATTTAGGAAGCAACAATTTTAAGAGGATATTTTGTCTGAAACGGATTTGTGTGGCTCTTTTGAAAACCAGGACAAGCCTACACTGTAGCAAAAATATTTTATACTGGCCTTTTTTTTTTTTGTACAAGCAGACTATCCATTATTTATCAGTCCCAACTAACACAAACTTTGCATAAAATCTGAATACGTGAATTCCCATTGCAGCTTCTTTGTGACAGATTTTATTTCGACATGTGCAGTAAACTCACTCATAGCCTCTCTTCCTGCACTTAAACCTGCTGCGGGTGGTCAGTCCAGGTCTGTCACTTTGCGGATGAGATCATTTGGTTGTCTGGAAGCAGCACCCCTGCTTTGTGCGGGCGGACCACGCCCCGGCCCCGGCGTGCGGTGCACCAGGCTAGGTTAGCACACAAGCCGCTACATCCGGGCGCTCTGCTGCTCGGTTTACAAACCCTGCGAAGATGGCGACTTCAGGGAGGAGTGCATTATTATCCTCCACCTCAACTGGACCTAAAAGCACACTGGAGAACTCCAACCCGGAGGAGGATGACGGGCAGGACTTATGGTGGGCGATGTGTTATTTGAGCTGGGTTATTGTGAGCAGGGTGTGCGGTGGGCGCAGAGGGGGTCCATTGTGCTGGGAGGAGGATGGGTTTTGACAGCTAGCTCGCTAACGGGGGGCTAGCTAGCATCAGCACCAGACTGACACAGCAGCACTAGCTCGCTTTTAGCTGTCAGTCTGTTGTTTGTTAATGAATGAACACCGCGTTGTAACCGGGGCTCTTCTGTCTGCAGGTCCACCATCCTGAGCGAAGTGTCAACACATTCAAGATCTAAGCTACCGTCTGGAAAAAATGTCCTGGTCATGGGTGGGTATATACATTTGTGTGTGTGTGTGTGTGTGTGTGTGTGTGTGTGTGTGTGTGTGTGTGTGTGTGTGTGTGTCTGCAGCAGTCTCCTGGCTAGCCAATAGGCATCGTTAGCCTGAATAGCTCGGGAGCTTGTGATCGTCTCATCCTGGTGGACTTAATGCTGCTCGATAGCTAAGCTAGCTTGCTCTGGACTGATGGTGCTTTTGTGTTCAAGTAGCGGGCTAGCAGAGAGACAGAGAGAGAGACAGGGACACACAGAGAGAGAGACACAGAGAGAGGGAGACAGGTGTATTTTACTGAGCGCGCACACACACACACACACACGCGCGCTACCTCCATCATGTTGTAAGGGAGAAACGCGCTGTTTTAAAACACTGCAAGTCATTCTAGCATACAGTGATGCTAGTAGCAGCTAGGTGGAGATGATGATGATGATGATGATGATGATGATGATGAAGGGACAAGACGAACCGTGTGTGTTTTTGTGAAGGGGGGGGGTTATGTGACCGAGGCGTGCATGCAGACAGACAGGGTGCGTCCCTGTCTCGCTCGGTCCTCATGTCCCGCTGCTGGACACACACACACAGACACACACACACACACAGACACACACACACACACACACACACACACGGTCAACACATCCGCCTGAGATAATCCGCAGTCTGCTACCCATTCCAGCTAATCAGCGATGTAAAGTGTGGCTGTAGCCATTTGTCTGTTATGCTGCCCATGACAACATCATCAGGCTCCGCTGTATGATGCATCGAGTCCCCCTGTCGGTAAAGTTAATATGGCACAGTGCGAGAATGGATGCAGCCCTGACCTTATAACACACAATAACAATGTCAGGCTGTCAGCTGTGTGGGAAGCAATAATGCCAGGACAGATGCATTGTCAGTAGATGTATATGTATATTAATCCTTCATGAAAACTGCAAACTCCATATAAAGAAGCTGTGTGGCTCTAGTCAGAGGGGAGTGGATTGTTTACAGTATTGTGTACAAGATATATTTGTGTAGAGCTTAAATGATTAGTTGATTAATTGATATCTGCAACTATTTTGCTAATCAAGTGTTCCTTTAAGTCAATTTTCAGGTAAAACTTTTCCCAGTTCCAGTTTCTCAATAGTTTGGATGTGATGCATTATTTTGTCCCATGTGACAATACTGAATGTCTTTTGGGTTTTTCAAAACAAACTATTTTAAGATGGCACCCTGGGCTTTAGAAAATTGTGATGGGCAATTCTGGCATTTTATAGACCAAGAAAGTAATGTACAGATTGTACGATGTTCGTAGTTTTGGGTAGTGTGTTGTCATTAACTCTGCAGTGTGTTACTAGTAACAGACAGCAGGATGCATGGACAAATAGCACACCTTCAGCACTGGTGTGGTGTGCCAGCCTCTGTTTCTTTCTTGTTTCTTTAGCCAAATTTTAATTCTTGCTAAATTATGGTTTAAGTACTAAACTGTAATATCACTATCACTATAGCAGTGGATACTACCCATAATCTGTTATTTACTGATTCTGTGTGTGTGTATAGGTGAGGTGGGTTCGGGGAAGACCACCTTGGTTGCAAAACTACAGGGGATTGAAGAATACATGAAAGGGCGTGGCCTGGAATACCTCTACTTCAGTGTCCATGACGACGACATTGATGGTAACCAGCAACTGCAGTTCATTGACCATTAAATGTCCATGTAGTTTTCTTGTATTACCAAGTACTTCTAAAGTAATGCAGCTGTATGATCGTATAGGAGTGTGTACATTAATGTGTGTGTGTGTGTGTGTGTGTGTTTAGACCAAACTAGGTGTAATGCCTGGGTGTTAGATGGAGACCTTTACCACAAAGGTCTCCAGGGAGTAGCTGTGCCAGTGGACGCTATCGGCAACACGTTGCTGCTGATAACAGTTGACATGTCGCGGCCATGGAACGCCCTGGACTCTCTCCAGAAGTGGGCTGCCGTCGCTAGGGAACACATCGACAAACTCCGGGTCGCCCCAGAAACACTGCGGGAGCTGGAGCACAGACGTGAGTCACACTGACGGCATTCAGGCTTACTAGTATACTTTTTCTTTTAACTTTATTTACTTCAGTGCTTCTTCATGAAAATGTTCTGAGCAGTACCAAAACAATTCTTTGATTTCTTTCTTGTCTTTGTAAAAAGCTAGAAAGTTAGGAGACTGTTTAAAATTGTAACCCCCTGCCAGGTCCCACTATTTGCTTATGTTTGTTTACTTTACTTTAATGTTCTTTGTGTGTGTGTGTGTGTGTGTGTGTGTGTGTGTGTGTGTGTGTGTGTGTGTGTGTGTGTGTGTGTGTGTGTGTGTGTGTGTAGTTGTAAAACAGTTCCAGGAGTACACAGAGCCAGGCAGTGGGGAGGATGGCACCCCGCAGAGGAGGAGTGAAGATGAGGAGACCGTGCTGCTGCCGTTAGGAGACAACACACTCACACACAACTTGGGAATACCAGTGGTGGTGGTCTGCACCAAGGTACACACACACACACACACACACACACACACACACACACTCACTGCTTATAAACACAGCCTATGTGAAGAAACGTACTATACTGCAACCTTAAAATCTATGTGCTGTAAAAATGTCATTATTCTGGGACTGGAAACTTAACTGTTTAACTGCTTAAATATTTTTTTAAAGTAGAACTCAAAACGTTTTTGTATTTTTTTGCTTTGCATCTACTTCTACACATTCACCTCTGTCTGACACCTGCCTATCTGACCTCAGTGCGACGCCATCAGCACACTGGAGAAGGAGCACGACTACAGAGACGAACACCTGGACTTCATCCAGTCTCACATCAGAAATTTTTGTCTGCAGTGTATCCTTCACTAAACATTGTTTCTGCCCTAGGCTGTGAGCTGAAAGGTGCACAAACAACTAATTTATAGTGTCAGGAAACAATGAAAGTATTGATTTGTACAGTATACTCAGGGGTTTTAATGGGGCTGTTGATCAATACCACTGACTCCCTGCAATTTTCCTCCAGATGTGGAGATTTAAGGCACTCGTTCACATTTTGTCCTGTGCTCTTGTAACATCCAGCTGTTCGGTGATGAAGGATGGTGATACAGCTGAGTGATTGGCATTATAAGGTGTTTTGTTCTCAAGCCAAAGGCCAAGTTTGCAGTCGCTGCCAGTATTTTGGCCACTGTGAGCTGAATCTGAACTGCTGTTGTTGTTGTTGGTGATATTGTTTTGCTGCAGAGAGAATTCGATAAAAGTGAGATTACCCAGTACTGTCTGAAATTGTTTGCTTTTCAGAATCCAGTCAATGCTGAGTGGAAACAGTATTGAAGTTTCAAACATTATTGTGTTAAAAATTAGCCAAGACTGCAACTAGTTCTTCTGTGTACTGGTAGCAATTGTTCTGCACTAGAATGTGTTTTTCTGTACTGTTATTACAGAGCTGTAGTTTTATTTTTCCACTTTGGTGTTAGTTTTACTTTTGCTCGTGTATTTACGAATGGTGGTGTTGAAAATAATCTTTGACAACCATGTCAGACGGAGCATCTCTGGTTTACACATCAGTGAAGGAGATGAAAAATCTGGACATCCTCTACAAATATCTGGTCCACAGACTCTACGGCTTTCCCTTCCACTGCCCGGCACAAGTGGTGGAAAGAGATGCTGTCTTCATGTAAGCCTGCCTTTGTGTGTATGTGTATGTGTATGTGTATGTATGTATGTATGTATGTATGTATGTATGTATGTATGTATGTATGTGTTTATGTACTAGGACTGTGGGGCCACCTATCTGGTTTGTAACCCTTCCTCTCCTCTATCAGTCCATCAGGTTGGGACAATGAGAAGAAGATTGCGATACTTCATGAGAACTTCCAGACAGTAAAAGCGGATGACAGCTTTGAGGACGTAGTAGTCAAACCGCCAGTCAGAAAGGTAAAGGCTCCTACTAAATACACGGCTAACTTGGAAAAAACTCTCTTAGGCAAACTAAGTTTACAGCGGAACGGTTAATATTACGTATCATTACCTTCGATGTCACGTTTCACAGCCAGTGCACTAAGCTTTACCCAGAGTCCCTGCAGGGATTGTGAGAGTTTTAGCCAATCTAATGTATTTGCTGTGGTGGAGTTATAAGTAAGGACTTGATGTGAAAAAGGCTGAATTTTTTTTTCTCTTGCTTGTCACCAGATTGTACACGAAAAGGAGATTCAGGCAGAAGATGACCAAGTGTTTCTGGTAAAACTGCAGGTCAGAAAACCTTTCTGTTGTGTTAATGCCAGTTGGTTTGCTGCTCGTGGGCACTCCAATTAAATCTAACTTGAGGGTCTTGATATGTTAATTAAATTCTAATTGGAGTGAGTGTGCATATTGTGCTCTAATTTGCAGTCGCTGCTTGCCAAACAGCCTGCTGTGACAGCAGGGAGACCAGTGGTGAGTGCTACTTTCTTTTTTTTTCTAGTTTTGGCTCACAGGATAAAGGGAATCTCCCTCTAGCGTCCGTATGTGTGAAATAAACTGTCGTTATTCATAGGACACCACCAGCAGAGCACCCACCGGTTCCCCCAGGACGAGTAATCGCTCCGCAGCGGCCAACGTAGCAAACGCCATGCCACAGTCGGGTACGTCCTTGCATTTCATCGCTGCACACAGCCACACATGACCATTGCTGTGTCTGTGTGTCTGTGTGTCTGTGTGTCTGTGTGTGTGTGTGTGTGTGTGTGTGTGTGTGTGTGTGTGTGTTTTTTAATTCTTCTCACTGTACGCTGCAGGTCAGACCAGTGAGGGTGTGTTGGCCAACTTTTTCAACAGTCTACTGACAAAGAAAGCAGGGACAGGAGGGCCTGGTACGCCAGGTGGCGGGAACAACACTCCAGGAACAGTACGCAAGTCAGGTGAGAATACACACTTTTTGTTTTTATGGTGTGTTGGATAGAAAATGTTGAAAGTGATCTCCATTGTGTTGTCGGATTTAATGCCATTTTCAGTCACTTCTCATCACTTAGCTTCTTTTTTTGGCTTTGACCTCCCATCTTCCGTCCTTCATTTTCTCACCTCTTTACTCTCCTGTCCTCTACTCCAGACACGAACATAACACATGGTAAACAGAACGATGAAAGGGTCTGAGCGCATCTAACACCCACACAAACAATCATCATCTTTCTGCCTGTTTTGTAGCTCTGTGTGTGACAGTCTTTTCATTCGTAACGATGCTCACAGTCTGTTGTGCAATCTCACTGTTCACATCATTCATAATTTATGTGTGTGTGTGTATGTATGCACTAGTCAGAGGATGCTGGCCACGTTAAGGTGTGTGCGAGAGACATAATTTTCATTCATTATTGCTTGTGTATGTCATCGTTCAAGCATCCTTATATTTCCTTTGACCCACCCTTCCCCCGAGCCTCCGACTCTCTCCAGCATCCGAGGAAGAATCAAGGGATCAAGCTTCCTGTATCACCCATTTATCTCTTGTACAAACATACATGGACTCGGCTGTGGGCTATAAATTATTATGATTCGTTTATTTAGATTATTAGATTATATTATATTAACTTCTCTAACCAATCTGAGAACGTTGTGGTTCAGGAGATGATCCCATGGCTATTGAATTACTTTTGCACCATATGCCTTCATTTTGCTGTTAGGGGAAGCAGGATCTGGCTTATATGTATCAGAATATGTGTATTGATTTCATATTAGTGGCAGGATCTAGAACGATGTGAAACTCACCAGCAGAAAGGCCGCCATGTCTCAAAGCAGCATTCTTGTCACCTATTCAGCAGGGTGAGGAAGTGCCAGACATGCCAGGATCATTTAACTTGATTGACTGATGATTTGATGACAGTTGCACCCATAACATCTCCCCTCCTAACACCCTCTCTCCATTCTGTTCCTCTACATTTTTTTTTGGCATGTTGCATTGCATTTCTCATGACTAACATCTGCTAAAAACATTACACATGATTTTAACTAAGGCTGGACAATCTGAGATCTGGCTTCCACTTAGGTCTGTTTTTAACTAGATAACTCCAAAAAAAGATGCAGTAAATTATATCCGTACTACTACAACATAGGAATCTTGTTGCATACTGATTAAATTGTCTGTCCTACAGTGGTTAACAAACATTGGATTTGTCTCTTGCAATAAGGAATTTTTTACACTAAATACATAGATATTTAGTGCAACAATAAATGCAAATAAATGAACATACATTCAGTATTACTAAAGCTCTGTTTGTACAAGATGTGCACGAAGAAGAAAGGGAAAAATATGATCACATTTGTATTATTTCACTAAACCTGGGTATGAACAAATTGTTTCATACTATCTGAATACCATAACCTACCATACCAAAACTAATCCAATCAACCAAGTCAAACTATTTTACCACCTCTCTATCACAGTATGCACTCATGTCTTCTCCCCTGCAAATAGAATGAGAGAAATTTTAGTATTACATTGAATAAATAGCCTAATTAAGAAAAGTAAAACCATATTAATACTATCCCAATGATACTATTGCGAATGTTTTGCTAATATTCAATGTTTGACCCAGCTCTTATTTTAACCATGTGTAATTGCCTTGGTGCTTATTGCATTGTGCCTCAACCACTCAATGCTGTAAAAATGCACTTATGTATTGCACTGGCTAAAATGTTCGTTCGATTATTTGCTCGTTTGATATAGGCACTCACTTTTTCTGTATTTGCATGCATCTGACACAGGTTCAAAGCTGGGCCTGGGCGATGTACAGGCGGAGCTGGACCGCATATCCAGCCGGGAGACTGACTCGGACTTGCCCAATGCCAACGACACGCCTGCCACCGACAGCCAGGACACATGAAGATCAACACACACGTCACCCTGCTCCCCCCGCCCCTCCCCGCCAGTCATCTTCCACCTCCCTTGTCCTTCCTCCCTCCACTCAAAACCTCCACCCCATCACAAAGATGCAGGGGAGAGAAAGAGGGATGTAGTTCACAAAGAACTCCCTCTCTCTACCCCCCTACCCCTTACCCTCCACTCCCCCCTCCCTCTCTTCTCTTCCTGGCTGTTTTGCTGAGGGCGAGTATTTGTCACTGTTACATACAAGACTGTCTGTTACATGAGAGTTAAAGGGTATGGGGGACCAATGGGTGTGTGGAGGAGGTTGGGATGAGAGGACGTGAGAGACGGGTTGAAAAAGATTGATTGCAAGAATGAAAGCGAGGGCGTTTTATCCATCCATTCCTTGTGATGGTACAGTTAGTGTTTTTACTGTAGGAACTGCTGAAGGGTGCATGTTGAATAATCTGCACTTAGGTACTGTAGGGGTGATTGTGTGTTTAATGTATGTGGGGCAAGTCACGCTAGGCCAGAGGAAGAGATTGAGAACGGGAAAAAAAAACGCCTGAAACAACAATTGCAAACAGTCTTGTTTTTTAAGTTGAAGGGACAAACATACCAGTATTTGTGTGTGTGTGTGTGTGTGTGTGTGTGTGTGTGTGGAGAGTGTGAGTGTGAGTGTGTACAAGTGAGGCAGATCAAGAAAATTAAGCAAGCTACTTGAACCTGTATGTTGAGAGATTTTTTTGGCTGTTTGCATTTCAACCAAAAGGCAAAAAACATTACTATGCTCTTACACTACAAGCTCTTAAAACAGCATACACTATTATTACAGCAGCCCTGTCTGCTACACTACACAAACCAAACATGACCACAACAAAAAAAAAAATTACTTCAGAGTCAATGTTAACACTCGAGCACTAGTCATGTGTAGAAGGCACCTAAAGTCCATCATGAAACCTAGTACTACAATTGGCCAAACTTCCCCCGCGTGGTACATACTGCTAAAACCTGTAGATGACAGACAGTGCACTGGAAAAAGGGAGGGTGTTAAAGGGGTAGTAGGGGGTGGGTAGCTGAGCTTTACTTGTACAGAAAGAAGCACTAGTGATTCAGTTTCATGGTTACTGCGGGCAAGGGGCGGTCTGAACAAGGGAGGGTCACACCACGAATGTACAGTCATTGTCTCGCTGATTGGTCCTGTTATTTCAGAGCTCTGTGTTGGCGTTTGTATAATCAGATCTGTTAATCAGTCAAATAAAAGGTGTATTTATTCCGATTCATCCACCTGGCTTCCCTTTGTTTTGTTATTTTCACAAGTCATCCATCCTCTCCTCACTCTGAATAAACAGAGGGACTCGAGGTTCCTTCAGTTAGATCTCTTGGGTACAGCCTATGTTGTTAAGCATCAAGCTGCTGTTGTGAGACACAGAATTTTGGCATTGTCTTGGTTGAAAAATAACACAATTAGCAGGCACTGCTGTTTGAAGTACAGTGCTCTTCCTCAGGCAGAAACAACAGGGTAATTGAGGACAAGACACTGAATATCATCAGGGACACAAATAAACAAAAAATCCAGTTTTTGTGGAGTATTGGATGTATTGATTCAATTAAATTGCCATTTTTGTGGCTAGTAAGTGTTTATTGATCAGTGCTGGTCTGGGCCCTCTCAGACTCACTCATAACTGTTAGGAGCCTCACCACTAAAGTATCCAGAGATACAACTTTATTTTAATTTGTTGTGCAGCAGTTGCTGTACAAAGTAGGAAAGAGTGTAATTATATTGATTGTAAGTGGTTTCTGTTATTTTGTCCACCCTGCGTTGGCTCTATGTCTGGCCTCTAACCGCTCTGAAGGGATCCTGAACTGATTTTATTATTTATGTACAGTATATTTATACAATGCTCCACTGTCTTGTATCTGAATAATTTCTCTTGATATCTTTATAGGAATACTGTTTGTGGGCAACTTACTTTAAGCATCATTCTGTCTGTATTTTCATGAGCTCTAAGCAGATAAAAGATCATTATCATTTGAAGGCTGGAATGACACACTCTCAAACCTAATGTGCATTTGCATGACCGATTGCAAGGAATAAGATTGACTACTTTTGCCAAATAAAGGAATATATGTGCAAGAAAGGGTTTGCATTTCTATTTTATGAATAAATCTGGTTATGTAATTTGTAGGGGAAGTTCCCGATGGCCAGTCTTAATTTTCTGACGATACCTTGCAGACATGCAAAAGTTGGGCTTTATGTTGTGTTGTCTGTTCACTGTGTTGTATTTGTCATTAGTCAGGTAAATTAAATACTCTTGCTCCTCTCACCTCAGTTGGAGACAGTGGATGGGATTCTTCCGAAGGTTTGAAATGGTCCCACATACTGGAATAAATATCCTCACCTTATGATAGATTCATTTTAAGCAGTGTATGAAAAAATATATCGGCACTCTTCCATTTGCTCTGGCAGTGGCATCTTATTACTGTCCTCATTCTAATATTAGTCATACCACTTACAGATCTGTGACCAAATATTGTTTTATTCTCTCACTACACACTTCTGCTACTCTTTGAGAGATATGAATAAGTGTTCCAGGTGATTATTGTGGTATAAGAAATGATCATAATTTCCCTTTTCCATTTCTCACAGTAATACTAATATGCTACCCGATAAAACTTTGGACTTTGACCTTTTCTAGTCTATAGCACGTGGTAGACGCGTGAACATGCACTATACTGTATGTGACACTTTCTCTTTTGACTGTTTTCATTTAATATCAATTTTATTTTCATATAGCTATAATAATAGGTCAGATATCAGAATACGTACATTACAATATGATTACAGCTAGCCTATGATTAAACTAAAATGCATACATAAGAATATTTTATATATTTTTAAGAATACAGTGTTTTCAAATCTTATAAAGCCACACAAATTTAAGTAGCCAAGACATAGCCGATGATATCTGAGCTTTACTGTCATCCTTAGAAGTGGATTGAACTCACAGTTGTCACAAGTTGTGCAGTTCATGTCACAACAAACAAAAACAGCTACGGAGACAAATGCCATTAAAACCACAGAACAGTATCATGTTATTGTGGCCACTGCATGTTTTCCTTTCAATCAATGTTTTGTTTTTTAATATGGGCATTTTATGTGTCATGGGATCAAGTTATTGGTTCTTGTGGAAAACTGAAATCCAATCATTGCATTCTACAGTTTCCATATGGTTTAATGTTGTGGTCACTTTTTCTTGTAACCATTGCAGCTTATCATATCCCAGTAACTGTGTGCAAGTGTGTGAAACATGTATGAGATTGTTGACAAGCGACCTTCATGTTTGTCAAATTATGACTTATGATTGAATAGGATGAGTGACTGAATGACACAGAGCCGTTACGGGAAATGTTTGTGAGTCGGAGTTAACTGCATGTTAATTAAACCCCTCCATCATATCACAGCAGCTCATGAATCACATTCCAGACTAATGAATGCACCTCGCCCTCCCCACCACTATGGCAACTATCACAAATTTTACATTTGCGTGGGTGAAAAATCTCAACAAACTGAAATGGCCAACTGCTCTTAACGTAAAAAAAAAAAAGATACCAAAATCGAGAAATAACTGTAAAATAACAGTTTTGATGCTTAAACTTTATTTAAAATGGCGCCCTATTTTCCGGAGTGCGGCAGAATACTGTATTTTCCTCATTCGCCATCTTGATGTTCGATCGCACAGGCGGAAGCAACATCTTCGGCGGAGCAACAGCGGGTGTGGTTCGGACTTCTACGGGTGGTTCACCTAGCAGCCCTTTTCCCATTTTCAGCCAAGAGAAAGGAGAAATTTTCCCTGACAAGAACCACGGAGGAGCCGCTCGACTCTGGTAAAGACGGTGTGTTTACTACATGTATTATACAACGGATCCGCAGCGCGTCAATGTTTGCTTCATCAAAGAAAATCATCTTTGGCCGGGGGAGGGGGCTCCGGTGGGGTTTTCTGATTTGGCTGGCAGCACAGCAGGTTTTGTACGGTGGCGCTTGGATCTACTTTTCATACGTCCTGGCTAGCTACGCTAATCAAACCAGAATTAAACATTTGGAGGGCTCGCTTGAAAGTCACGACTCCAATCATTAATTTATTTGTTGCAATGGTGACTTCTAGTGCTGGTCGCGTCTCAGGACAAGTTTGACCAATTTAGACTGCGTGAGTGAAGCCCTAAACAGTGTTTGTTTATGTTAGCTAGTTCGCTAACTAGCGGAGGGTTTAGCTAGGCACGTTAGGTTAGCTTAGCGAGCTTTCAAGGTAAGCTAGCCAACCTGTTAGCTAACACTGGTGGCTACTACATGCTAGCGCCTCGGTCTTGAATTATATGTCTGTAGGAATTAACCTGGGGATTTACGGTATGTAACCTGTGCATTTATCTGGGGTTTTATAGTTGTGATTAGGCGGCTGGTTACGCTCGTACTTAGACCCTCCATAAGAGGAGGAGTCATGGAAGTGATTGCGGGGCGGAGGGGGTAGTTTCTCTCATTGGAAACCCAAGCTGCGAGGTCGGAACTTGGCCGTGGTAGGGGGAGGGGGAGAAATATGCCTTTGATGTTCTTTGCCGCTGAATGGTGAATTGTGTTCATGCTGGCCTGGAAATACCCACCGCTTTGCTCTCTCGGCTGGAGGTGGAGGCTCGGCATTTCCCCTCAGAAGCTGCGTTAGCAAGCCAAACAAGCGTCTGAATCAGGGGGGGAGCGGGCACAGGTAGCGCAGACAGACAGGGAGTTTATTATTGAGACCACGTAGGAGAAAACGCATAAACACTACGATTAGGTTTTTGCTTTTGGGCAAACAAGAACTCAAGGTTGCGTGCGACTTGTCTTATTTTTTTCCCTGTGTACTTATTTCCTCTTACACAGACATATCTGCTGTGCGGGCTGAGGGCAGGCAAGAACAATGGCTACCCAGTGTAAGTATGAGAAACTTTAATTCTAATAAGTTTTGTGTGGATGTGGACACGGCCTTTTATGGTTTGTCTTTTATATCCATATGTAAGAGTTTCCTTGTGCGTAAATACACAAATTACTGTAAGCCTTGAGGTACTGTGGAAATTGGGAAAATGGGAGCTAGGTGAGCACATGTCACAGTATCCAGAGTAATTATAATTCGCCTTTGTTACATCTGAGTTTCTCCTTCAGGGAGAAAAAAAACTGTCTTGGATTTGTAAGAGGAATTTAATGTTTACATGCTCCAATTTATGAGCATTACCTGAGGGTATCAAGCATAGAGGAACAGAAGCTTTTCCTTTGCTTTTTGTTCTGTTTGTATCCGTTTGCTTTAACAGGATTTTCTTTTGTATAAAAGGTCACTCGAATTTTATGTTGGCCCTCCATATTTTCACAAGAACTTATTTAATTCCTAAATCTCCTTTCTGCATTGGCTTTCTGCAAGATTAGGAATGAAATAAAGTTATGTATAAGATTACTTAAACCTTCTAGATCCCTCTTAAAAACTATTCTTGGCTTAAAGCCAAACACTGAAGTACAGATTACCTTTCTTCAAATCTGTGATTTGTTGTTCCACTTTTTTTGTCCCTTTTTGTATAGCTGATTTGATGGAGTTGGACATGGCAATGGGAGACAGCAAGGCTGCAGTTAGCCAGTGGCAGCAGCAGTCCTACCTGGATTCAGGCATTCAGTCTGGAGTCACCACCACAGCACCATCTCTGAGCGGCAAGGGAAACCCTGATGCTGAGGAGGACGACCCAACTCTCTATGACTGGGAATTCAACCAGCCCTTCACTCCTGAGCCTACAGGTATACGAGATATTGTTACATAGGGTATTTGCAACATCAGGATAGCTAAAGCATAAATGGTATGGCAAATTCTGTTATTTCATGATATTGCATTACTTTCAGACATTGAGGGGTATGCCATGACCCGGGCCCAGCGTGTGCGTGCTGCCATGTTCCCAGAGACTTTGGAAGAGGGCATCCAGATCCCACCAACCCAGCTGGATGCTGCCCACCCAACAGCAGTGCAGCGCCTGGCAGAGCCATCTCAGATGCTGAAGCATGCTGTGGTCAACCTCATTAACTATCAAGATGATGCAGAGTTGGCCACTCGTGCCATCCCTGAACTTACCAAACTGCTCAATGATGAGGACCAGGTGCGTTTACAAGTGAATCAGGAACACACTGAAATGACAAATTGGTACAGACTGAGTGACATGTGGTGTCATGTAAGTTATTAGCAATGCAGTTTACATCCCTAACAAACATTGTTCTTTGTCCT